CAAAAAATTCCTGTATATATACCGCCATTTGTAGACGCTATAACTTTCACGTAAACCATATAATTTACATGTATTGTGATTTGTTTTGTTTTTTTTAGCCAAGATATGTAGCAGAAACATTTTGGCCAAAATTTATGAAGAAATTTTATTTTTTATTTTTTTTTTACTGGATATGTTTTCTAGCAAAATGTCAAAAATATTGGGGTTTTTTTTCAAAATTGTCAGTCTTTTTTTGTTTATAGTATAAAAAAAATAAAAAATGCACAGGTGTGGGAAAAAAAGGCCATAAATTTTATTTATGTACAGCGTTGCATGACCGTGCAATTGTCAGTTACAGTAACGCAGCACCATACCGTAAAAAATGACCTGGTCAGGAAGCGGAGTAAATCCTCTGGAGGGCAAGTGGTTAAAAGGGCAAGTGGGTAAACATATTAAAAATGACTTTAGAAATTACATTAAAGCGGAACTAAACTCCCAGAAATACTCACCTTCTCATTCCAGTGGTTAAATCCCTTGCCAGCCCATCTTTTCCCCAGCTACATCTGGGTGCCAGATTTCTGGCCCCTGATTGGCTGGTCAGTGAATGACATCATCATGTTCATGGGGTCCATCATTTCGGCACAGCTGGATTTTGCCAAGAATGCATGCTAAGCTGCTCATTTTGTACATTCCATAGAAGACTGCTCGCAGTTTTTGCATTAGTTGAGTTAATTCCACTTTAATTCCAGACTAAAGAAAAACTTGTTTTCCCCTGCCTTCTCCCCCCTTGATCTCTCACATTTGAATTTTTATTGTATTTTAGTGTTGCCTAGGCAAAAATGTTTGCTCCATGATTCTGCATGTGCACAGGTGTGCCCCAGGGTTTTGGGCCCCAGCAGAGCCCTCTGCCACATCTGCGCATGCACTGATTTGCCACACATGTGGAAAGACAGCATTAGTATTCCAACACAACAAAGGATCTCCATGCATTCACAGATGTGCCACAAGGTTCTGCCGGGACCTGAAGGCTGGACAGAGCCCTTTGGCACATTAGTGCCTGAGCTGCACCAAAAAAAGATGGGAAAGCCGCAGGGATTTCAAATCCCCAGACCTGTGGAGTGGCTTTCTCTACTCTCCTTGCATGGATGACATTACGGGCAGTGCTGACCAATCAAAAGCCATCTAGCCCGTACTGTCATCCCTGCACTGAGAGGAGAGAAAGCCACAGGGATTTCAAATCCACAGCTTTTCCTTCTATGACAGCATGGGATCGGTACAGGCAGGTTTCCTGCACTGCTCCTGTGTGAACTCGACAATGACAAGCATGGGTTCACACAGGAGCAATGGGGAAACCGCATGCGATTGGGACAGGAATTGCATTCCAGTTCAAATCGCATGCTATTCTTTGCAGTGCAATTTGCGTCCATACATTTTGTATTAACTCAAGCCACACCGCAAAGTATCAGTATTCGGTATCGGCGAGTACTTGACCAAAAGTATTGGTACTCGTACTCGCCGATCAAAAAAGGGTATCAGTGCATCTCTAGAAAAAAGGTGACAGGGGTGGGACCTGCAGCAGATTGACAGCCTCAGCTCTGTTCCTGTGAGTTGTGTGTGTGTGTGTGGGGGGGGGGGGCTAGATGTGTCTCTCCCCTCCAATCAGCTCTCAAAGCTGTCCTCACTGAGCTCTGCAAAGTGTAATTTCAGCTCTCTGCCCCCTTTTTTCTGAGTTCTCAGACAAGCTTTATAAATCCTGGACTTTGAATGGGTATAGAGAAGACTGCAGATAGACAGGTAAAACTTATGTACATCCCCTGGCAAAAAGTATGGAATCGCCACAGTTGGAAAATGTTCATTCAATTGTTTAATTGTATAGAAGAAAAACAATCACAGACATGCCTCAAAAATATTTCATTTAACATTCCAACTGGCTTTAAGAAACACTTAAAAAAAGAAAAATGAAAACTGTAGTCAATTGCAACTGTTTTTGCTGATCAAGCAGAGGAAAAAAATTCTGAGGAAAATATTATGGAATCACCATGTACTTTGCAATTCTAAAACAAACATCTGCTAATTAGTCTGCAGTTAAAAAAGAGTGCTTGCACACCTTAGCGAGCTGTTTCACCAAGCTGATTGACATGAATCATGGAACCAACACGAGAGATGTCAGTTGAAACAAAGGAGAGGTTGATAAAACTTTTTCAAAAAGGTAAATCATCACGGAATGTTGCAAAAGATGTTGGTTGTTTCCAGTCAGCTGTGTCTGAAATCTGGACCAAGTACAAATCAAATTCAAATTTGAAGGTTGTAAAAGGGAAGTGAACTGGTAGACCAAGGAAGAAATCAAAGCATCAAGATACTAAAACTTAAAAGAAAAGCCAAACGAAAACCATCATTAACGGATAAAAATCAAAACATTAACAATAACATATAAAGCCATTTATAACTCTGCCCCAAATTACATCACCGATCTTGTCTCCAAATATCATCCAAACCGTACTCTCTGCTCCTCGCGCGATCTTCTGCTCTCTAGTTCCCTTGTCTCCTCCTCCCATGCTCGTCTCCAGGACTCCTCCAGAGCTTCCCCCATCCTCTGGAATTCTCTACCCCAATTTATCAGACTATCGCCTTCTCTGCTCACTTTTATGCAATCTCTGAAAACTTATCTCTTCAGGGAAGCCTATCCTGCCCTCAGCTAATAATGGAATCTTCTACTCTTCCTACCAGTCCATCCCCCACAGTTACTACCGTTTGTACCACTAGCCCCTCCCTCCTAGATTGTAAGCTCCAAGGAGCAGGGCCCTCCTATCCCTCTTGTATTGAACTGTATTGTTGCTGTATTGTCTCCCGTTATATTGTAAAGCGCTGAGCAAACTGTTGGCGCTATATAAATCCTGTATAATAATAATAATAATATTAATTAACACCTAAACAGAAAAAAACATTGTTACAGTGGGCTAAAGAAAAGCAATCATGGACTGTGGATGACTGGATGAAAGTGATATTCAGTGATGAATCACAAATCTGCATTGGGCAGGGTGTTGATGCTGGAACTTTTGTTTGGTGCTGTTCCAATGAAGTGTATAAAGACAACTGCCTGAAGAAAACATGCAAATTTCCACAATCATTGATGATATGAGGTTGCATGTGACAGTCATTAAATCTCTTATAAAAGCACAAGTTTATGTTGAGATTGTGGACACTTTTCTTATTCCATCAATTGAAAGGATGTTTGGTGATAATGCATCTTGGACACTTTTCTTTTTCAATTAAAAGGATGTTTGGTGATGATGACATCTTTTTCAGGATGATAATGCATCTTGGACACTTTTCTTATTCCATCAATTAAAAGGATGTTTGGTGATGATGACATCATTTTTCAGGATGATAATGCATCTTGGACACTTTTCTTATTCCATCAATTAAAAGGATGTTTGGTGATGATGACATAATTTTTCAGGATGATAATGCATCTTGGACACTTTTCTTATTCCATCAATTGAAAGGATGTTTGGTGATGATGACATCATTTTTCAGATGATAATGCTTTGGACACTTTTCTTATTCCATCAATTGAAAGGATGTATGGTGATGATGACATAGGGTGATAATGCATCTTGTCATAGGACAAAAGCCCTGAAAACTTTCCTTCAAAAAAGACATGTAGGGGTGTATTTACTAAACCTGGAAAGTGCAAAATCAGGCTCACTTTTGCATAGGAACCAATCAGCTTCTAATATCAGATTCTCCAATTAAGCTTTGGCAATAAAACCTGGAAGCAGAGTGGTTTCTATGCAGAAGTGAGCCTGCTTTTGCACTCTGCAGTTTTAGTAAATAAACCCCATAATGTCAATGGCATGGCCTGCAAATAGTCCGGACCTCAATCCAATTGAAAATCTATGGTGGAAATTAAAGAAAATGGTCCATACAAGGTTCCAACATGCAAGGCTGATCTGGCACATACAGTAAGAGAAAGTTGGAGTCGGATTGATGAAGAATATGGTTTGTCAATAGTTAAACCCATGCCTCAGAGAATTCAAGCTGTTATAAAAGCCAGAGGTGGTGCAACAAAGCACTAGTGGTGTACTGTAGTGTTTTTTTCATGATTCCATAATATTTTCTGCAGAATTGAGTCTGCAAAAACAGTTGCAACGGACTACAGTTTTCTTTCTTTTTTATTTTTTGTGTTTCTTAAAGCCAGAAGGTTGGAATGTGAAATGATAATAGTTTTGAGGCATGTCTGTGATTTGTTTTTTTTTTCTACACAGTTAAACTATTGAACAAGAGTGGTGATTCCATACTTTTTGCCAGGGGTTGTAAGAGGATTTGTTTAATAATTTCTGAGTATCTCCTGGGATCAGTCAGTTACTGGGTATATGTAAGGGTTTACAACCACTTTAATGTTACTCATCACTATTTGTTGTGGCAACAATTACACATTTGGCAAGTCTTTATTATCACCACTTCAGCTACTGCATCTTTATACCCCTTGTGGACCACAGCAATTTTCAACATGGACATTTTTCCTGCTGTACAGGTAACTTGTAACATAGATTCTAAATTCTGATATAAAACTTACCTACTGATTTTTAAAAATTAGTTAATATCATTAGGAATTGTTTGGAAAATTATTAAGGGCTACTGACAATAAATGCACACATTTCAAGGGGTGACACAAAAGAAGAAGCTTGGTAAACCCTTTTTTTTTTCGTGAAAGGTTAAATGCTTGTGATCATTTTAGAAATGTTTTGCAAGTGCATGTGGTTTTAGGGTAGATATAATTGGTTCTTATTACCTTGACGCAGTCTCATTTTTTATATTTAATGGAAAAACTAAGATTGTATTGTGTGCACATTAAAATAATACATTTGTGTATTATTTACTGAAAATATACATTTTCACATTTTTTTCCCATCCAGCTTCAAAAAATGTCTGGGAAAACAGTGACTTTTACAATTTCATAAATATGTGACTCTTGGACATAACATACAATTATGTTATATATGTATCTTTTTTTTCAGGTATAGGGAAAGGCTGCAAAGAAAGTTTCTCAAAGAAACCAACCAAAAACTAAACTTATCTGGTGCCCTTAACTGCCGAAAATGGAAATTCTTGCCAAAAGGAATCGATGATTTCCGAGACGGCTATCCTGCTTCCTCTGACGCTTCAAATGTTCTGCCCTCAGGTGTACATCTTCCCATCCTGCAGAATGCAGAACATGACTCAAAACCTGCCCAGAAGCCTAAAAAGTTCACCGTGGAGCAGTCCTGTTACTCAAAACACCTCCCAATGCAGCAGGCACGCCGAGAATACATTGCTGAGATAGAATATGGCCTTACACAGCACCCACTGGTTCTTTACCCTCACTTAGAAGAAGGCATACTACCTGAAGTAAGAGCTACATTTACATTTTTTTTACATCTGTAGCCTCCTGTAATACAGAACTGAGGGACAGGGAAAGGGATAATGATAATAATAATCCTTTAGATTGTAAGCTCCACGAGCAGGGCCCTCACATTCCTTCTGTACTGAAATGTATTGTAATTGTACTGTCTCCCTTATATTGTAAAGCACTGTGCAACTGTTGGCGCTATATAAATCCTGTATAATAATAATAATAATGAATGCACCAACAGCCAGTCATGCTCTGTTGCATGCATATGTGCTGATAGAAAACATGCTACCAGAAGAGAGAGTGGTGGTGATTCTCTATTCTCCAATCAGTAGGCCGATGGTGTGTTTTAATCAGTGTTCTTGACCAAATTTTGCAGCTGCTGTATTGTAGGTCAGTGATGTGACTATGCTTTCTGGCATGGGTGCCAGAATCACAAAACAGGCGCACAGAAATACAATGAAAAGAAATACAAATAGCTGGTAAAAGCAGTTCATATATATCAGGGATTCTCAACTTTTTAAATAGTGAGGGCCACTTAAGTGATATGGTAACCAGTCATGGGCCACAATGAAATGGTTCAGAATTTAGATTTTTTTTTTTTCTTGAATAGCATAATGAACATTTTCCTCCTGTAGCCGCTGAATGCCAGTGGGAGGGAGAGGAGAAGAAGCCAGTTTTCAACAGTTAGAGGAGGAAAATGGAAAGAATCCATTCCTGTGTATGCTGCCCCACCTGTCCAAGTGTAAAACACAATATGACAGGGAGGCCACATGGGCCTCCTGGAGCATAGGGCAGTGTCGCCATTGCAACCTCTGATACTGCACCAGTGGTTGGGGGTGTATGGTAAAAACCACCTGTCCCTCAAACCAGAGGCGTCCCTAGGGTTGGTGTCACCCGGTACAGTAACACTTGGTGACACCCCCTCCGACGATCCCCGCGGAATGGATCGGATCTGCTGATTGAGTATAATGGATTGGACTCCGATCCATTATGCTCAATCCGCAGATCCGATCCATCCTGCGGGGATCATCGGCTTTCTTTACACCTTACCTTTTCTTGGAGTAGGTCTGGGACAACTGCGCATGCCCCGGTTTCAGGCACGATCAATCGATGATGGCAGTAGTTCTATCATCGATTGATCATGCCTTAAACTGGGACATGCGCAGTTTCTTCAGGGGGACAATTCTACATGGAAGACACATCTTGCCGATACATCGGTGTCACCCCGCAGGATCGTCCGCATGCAACCTATACGGGGTGACACCGGACCTGCTCCAAGAAAAGGTAAGTTGTAAAGAAAGCCGATGATCCTCTCCTGTGGAGCGGGTCCGGTGTCACCCCATGCGGTTGATGTCACCGGTGCGGCACCCTCCCCCCCGCACCTGGCTCGGAACGCCACTGCCTCAAACTGTAAATGTAAGCAAAACCCTTACTGTCCTGTGCCCCCTATAAGGCTGCTTTTACACTAAGCACCTGTGGCGTTCATGTGGGTTGACTGCACTTTGCCATAGACTTCTATTATACAAGTGTACCTCGGTTTATGAATTTAATGCGTTCTCTGGGACGTTTCGTATTGCGAAAAATTCGTAAACGGAAACGCGGTTTCCCATAGGAATGCATTTAAAACCAATTAATCCGTTCCGGAAGTCAGAGAAAAGTAAAAAAAAAAAGTTGCTGTCACTATAGGTCAGTGCCGGTTTTTAAATGTAATTAATGGCTTTTTTTTTTTCTTCACTATAGCTCAGAGAATCAGCTGTCACTTTCCCCCCAGCTAAAAGAAAGAAAGTTTCCTTTTAGTTTATTTCCCTGAGTTAAAAGAAACAATGTTTCCTTTTAGTTTGTTTCCGGAGTTAGAAAAAACAAAGTATCCTTTAGCTCTGGGGAAAGTGACAGCTAATTCTGTGAGCTATAGTGAAGATAAAAAAAAAAAGCCGGCAATTGCACTTAAAAATCGGCACCGACATACACTTCTTATTGTGAAAAAAATTTGTAAACCGAGGCATTATTTTCAATGGATTATCATTCATAAACCGAAAATTATGTTAACCGAGGCGTTTGTAAACTGAGGTACACCTGTATTTTCTATTCAGTTTGAGGTCAAAGGCCACATCAGAGGGCTCTGAAGGCCACATCTAGCCCGCGGGCCATGGGTTGAGCACCCCTGATATATATCATTCAATAGTACATTGAGCTTGCCTAGTTTTTAATATACTGTTAACATAAATAAATCTCTAATAATATAATAATAATGATGAATTTATATGCAGAAAGTTAAGTCTGCTTGTCAGGTAGCAAATATGCAAAGCAGTTCCAAAATTTACTGGACATTATATAAAGCTGATTTTAACAATATTTTTTCCGTGCTTTGCTTATGAAAAGTCTAGGAAAGTTTGATTGCAAATTCTGTATTTTTTTTTTGTAAAGCTGTTTGAAGACATAGTGGAGATTCTTGACCCTGAAATGAGATTAAAGAGTCCATCAGATTCTTATGAAGCTATTCCTGAGGATCAGGAGGTCAACATCATTACTCCAGCAAGAGAACAGCAGGAAACACAAAGTGAAAAATCACGTGAAACCAGCACAAGACTGTCAACTATGTAAGCATTGTGTATTTTTCATGCTAAGGATATTTATAAGTAGCTTAAAGAACCTATAATTGTTTGATATAGCAGAAGTCAGAGCTGATGTTAAAAAAAACCCGGCCCCCATACAACCCACCTGACAGGACTTATGTGAACAGGCACCATAGGCAACAATGTTATTACACATGTCATGCAGATTGGATGTGGTTCAACCGCATCCAATCCGCATATATGTGAACGGGCACTAAGGGCTATGATGGAATTTGGCACCAACTGTCAGGGATCCAGGTATGACCAGAGATGTGTGGACTGACACAGGGAACAGCAGGCTTCAGAAATGATGAATAATAATAAAAATTTATTAAGAGCTGCACAAATATACAAACCCAGTGCAAACAAAAACCAAACCTTAAACTAATATTAATATGTACAAGTGTAGTCAGGGCTGGAGAGGTGGAGTGGTCAGGCAGGCCGGGTCAGGAACAATTGGGCAGATAAGGTACAACAGGAGCAGGCAGGAGAATGGTCAGGTATAGCCGGGGTCGGTGCAGGCGGAGTTCTAGCAGAGTCAGAAGACAGGATACAGGATCAGGACAACAGGGCACATGGGAAAACACCAAGGCACTGATTGCAGGCCTGGTACTGCTTAAATACACCTCCTGCAATCAGCCTCAGCTGATCGCTTGATTGCAGGAGTGAGATCCTGGCTGCTGAAAGCACCCGCTGGCAAGCACCGGTACTGCAACCCACACGGCAGGTGAGCCCCAGCGCCACCAGCGGTGAGTCTTTTCCTGACACCAACCATATCATACTGTATCTCTGAGATACTATTGCATCCTTAGGACTCATTCACATGTGAGGTCGGGGTCATTAAAAAACCCCATGCTTAAGCTGCGCTTTAACCACCCACCAACTGTTACCCCCCTTAGCAACAGAGGCAGTGGCTAGAGGTGTGCACATGCCACGGCCATGATGCTATGCTTCAAAGCCATCACATAAATTATAGAGACCAAAGCACATGTGAACGAGTCCCTATTATATGTTTTATCATTTTTTCGAATTTAATTTTTTTTACATTTTTAGCTGCCCTGTTGCGAGGCTTTGGTGAAATATCAGGGGTCTAAACAGACCCCTGATAGCTATTATTTGAGACTGAGAAAGGAACTGAAGAAATAGATTCATCAAGTCCTTTTCTCTGCAGCCTCAGCTATCTGAGTCTTCCTGTTTATTTACAAACTGAAGCACAGTGAACACGGTTTGCAGTACTATGCTTCAGTGATAAATGGACACAAAAGCGATTAGTACCGATTGCTCACTGTGTTTATTCAGGAAAGGAAGGGGCCAGTAAATAACATATTTAATGGCCCCTTCCCCCGCTCTCCTTCTTGAATAATCCCGTGTGCCCGCAGCAGCTGCCGGCGGGAGAGGAGGGAAGCTGGCAGCGCTGCTAGACAAAGGGGCACACAGGATGGCCTGGACAGTGGTGGAAGGTGGGGCACACAGGGGGCCAGCCCTGACAGTGGGGGTGTAGGGGCAGAGATACTTCAATGCATCCCTCTGCAGCACAGCCAGAGGGAGGGGGATGAGAAGAAGCTGGCAGGGGGAGCCAACGAGATAGGTGTCGGCAATACAGGAGTACAGTTATTCCTCCTGCTCGGCAGGTGCCTGGGCCCCTCTTATGAACTGATGGGGCCAGGGCCTGGTACAGGAGGCCTGGCTGCAACTGATGGGGCCCGGGCCTAGTACAGGAGGCTTGGCTGCTCTGCCTCATCAGCGACCCTAGCAGAAGTATGACAATTATGAGCTGCACTGGTAACTTAGTAGTAAATATAATGCAGTGAAGTAGAAGAAAACACCTTCCTTGGTCCTTGTCAGGGGCGGACTGACCATTTGGAAATTTGGGCACTGCCCGAGAGCCCGGGGTCAGTAGGGGGCCCCATGAGATGCCCCTGGTACCTTTTTCATAGGCTTTTTTGAGTTTTGGCAAGGACACAGGGGCCCCATGATCTCATATTGCCCGGGGGCCCCATGAGTTGTAAGTCCGCCCCTGGTCCTTGTAGTAATAAAGTTTTTAGGGCTTGTTTACACTCCCTTTGATTTCCTTCAACATGCATTTTTTATGTGTTTTGGATGCTTCTGTGATGCTTTTTTAAAGCTTTAATGAAGCTTGGCAAATGCCCTCTGTGTATTCATTTTATATTGGTTTTAAAGGGGCTCAGTAGAACCATGGCTCAGTAATACCCCCACTCAACAGATCCCCAGCTCATTAGTACCTTTGTTTAGCAGATCCCCAGCTGATAAATACCCTCATTCAGCAGATCCCTTACTCAGTAATTCCCCCAGCTCTGCTGATGCCCCACTCAGTAGTACTCCCAGCTCTGCTGATCCCCTATTCAGTGGTAACCCCCTGCTATGCTGATTCCCCACTCAGTGGTAACCCCCTGCTCTGCTAATCCCCTGCTCAGTAGTAACCCCCAGTTCTGCTGATCCACCGCTCAGTGGTAAACCCCCAGCTCTGCTGATCCCCCGATCAGCAGTAAATCCCAGCTCTGCTGATCCCCCACTCAGTAGTAACCCCCAGTTCTGCTGATCCCCCGCTCAGTGGTAAACCCCCAGCTCTGCTGATCCCCCGATTAGCAGTAAATCCCAGCTCTGCTGATCCCCCACTCAGTAGTAATCCCTAGCTCTGCAAATCCTCTGGATTACTGATCCTCCTCTCTCTGCAGTCCGCTCACCTCCTGCTTTATTGCTTCTATGCTACTAACAATATGTGACATCTGCTAGTTTCTCCAGCTCCGATCTGCCAGCTCTGCTGCTCAGTCCGTTCTCTTCAGTCCCTGCTCATCTTCTGCTATAGCGTTCCCATGTTGTGCATCATGTGTGCCGTCTGCTAGTTTCTCCGATTCAGTCCAGATGCTGCTTACCTTCCTGCTGCTCCACCCTGCACACCAAACACTCCCAGAATATACATGAACTAGAAGTGACTGCTGATGATGTCTTTTCGGTTTGCTTGTTGGCAGATAAGACTGAGGGAGAATTAGGTAAAACTGCCACAACCTATATTTCTTACTGCTACGTAATGACAAGCAACTACAAAGGGCCAAGGTTTAAAGGATCAGTCCATCAAAAATGGGGGGGGGGGGGGGGATGAGTAATGGCCCTCTCAAACAGGAAAAGGCACTAAACCTAGGTAAATAGGAGAACCAGAACCTTTGCTTTTTTAAACGCATTTTCTGCATTGAGATAAAAAAACCTTCTGTGATCAAATACTAACTGAGCCTAATCTTGATCCAGTGCTTTGCCCAAGAGCAGCAACTCTCTCCTCACAGGCTCAGAGATGGCAGCAGGAGCCATTGGCTCCTGCTGCTGTCAATCAATTTCTGTGAGGAGGGGGAGGGGCTGAGCCAGGCTGTGTATGTCAATAGACTCAGGATCAGGCCTGCATGAGTGCCCCCATAGCAAGTGACTTGCTATGGGGGCATTTGGAAGAGAGGAGGAGTCAAAATCACCGGTGGTGGACCCCAGAAGAGGTTCAGGGCCATCCTCTGGAAACCCATTGCACAGAGCAGGTAAGTATAAAGTGTTTATTAGTTTAATATAAAAAAATATACCTTTACAAACACATAGCAAAAGTGTTTACAGCCATGGCCAAAAATATTGGCACCCCTGCATTTCTGTCAAATAATGCACCACTTCGCTCAAAAATTGTTGCAGTTACAAATGTTTAGGCATTCCCATGTTTACTTCTTTTGTTTGTATTGGTATGACACAAATATGCGGAGAAACAAAAAACTAAATCTGGCACATTCCGCGCAATTCTTTTGAATACCCTGGAGCAGGGTAGGCACCCTTTGAGAGGTAGAGATCTTCCTGAACAATCTGAAAGAGATCAAAGATCACTGAGGTGCAGCACCCTTTTTTTAAAGAAACTAAGGCCTAACTAAATAGTAAGGAAAACTTAGGAAAAATATAATAAACAAATGTCACTGTAAAGATGTAAACGTAGCCTGCCGTAAAAGTGGCCAGTCTGTAGAGCAGTGGACAGTGTCAGTAGGGCAGTAGACTTGTCAGTAAGGCAGTGGATGGAGGCAGTAGTTTTTATTTTTACTATTTTATTTTTTAAATATTGTCCAATTTTATTTTTTATTATATTTTACAATTGTATTTTTTTATTATTTTAAACATTTTTTTAACAGCCCTATTGGGGGACTTTGGTGAAATATCAGGGGTCACTTTTGAGACAGAGAAGGGAACTGAGAACATACAGTTGCAAGAAAAAGTATGTGAACCCCTTGGGATTACGTGGAGTTTTGCATGAATTGGGCATAAAATGTGCTCTGAACGTCATCTAAGTCACAGCAATAGAAGAACACAGTCTGCTGAACATAATACTACACAAACATTAGATGTTGCCATGGTTTAATTGCACATAACATGTAAACATTCACAGTGCAGGGAGGAAAAAGTATGTGAGGCCCTAGCTTAATGACTTCTTCCAGAGTTAATTGGAGCCAGGAGTGAACCAACCTTGACTCCAATCAGTGTGATGATATTGGATGTGTTGCTGACAGCTGTCCTGCCCTTAAAAAAACACACACCTGTTTTGGGTTTAGTGGTTTCAAGAAGCACTGTCTGATGTTAACCTTGCCTCGCAGAAAAGAGCTCTCAGAAGACCTACGATCAAGAATTGTTGACTTGCATGAAGCTGGAAAGGGTTACAAAAGTATCTCCAAAAGCCTTGATGTTCATGTGTCCATGGTAAGACAAACTGTCTACAAATGGAGAAAGTTTAGCACTGTTGCTACTCTCCCTAGGCGTGGTTGTCCTGTAAAAATGACTGCAAGAGCACAGCGCAGAATGCTGCATGAGGTAAAGAAGAATCCCAGAGTGTCAGCTAAAGACCTACAGAAATCTCTGGCACATGCTAACATTTTTGTTGACACATCTACAATAAGGAAAACATTAAACAAGAATGGAGCACATGGGAGGACACCACGGAGGAAGCCATTGCTGTC